GGGGCTGAGAGATTTATTTTTTTTCTATTTTCAGCTTATAATAAAAAAAATTGGATATTTACTAAAACAGTGTATGTGATATATAACGGAAAAAGATTTAGGGAGACAAATTATTGTTGTCAAGCTAATTGGTGCATGCTGACGCTTCAAGACCTGGTCTGGACCGCTAGGCTTCAAAGACTGGTGGTCATGGAAGGGTTAATGATGAAATAGCTGCATTAACTGGTGTCCATCTTTCATCATTGGAGTGTACACCGATCAGCCAGAACATCTATTTACCATGGATGGGCATGAGGGAATCAGGAGAACATTCCCACTGTATATGGAACTGGGAGGGAATTTCTGAATTGACGCATCATGGCCACTGGATGGAGCATAGGAAATCAGTATTTATTGGCCATCTAGTGGCCATGATGTGGCATTAATTTACACCTTATTATTATTATTATTATACAGGATTTATATAGCGCCAACAGTTTGCGCAGCGCTTTACAATATAGGGAAGACATTATAATTACAATACAATTCAAGACAAGATGGTAAGGAGGGCCCTGCCCCTGAGGGCTTACAATCTAAAAGGGGAGGGGCCTGTGATACATGAGCCGGTAGCTGTGTGGGGATGAAATGTTTGAGAACGTGATGGTTAGTTTGAGGTGGGATAAGTTTCCTTGAAGAGATGAATACATGAGGTCTGAACACCTGAAAAGAAAATATACTAAGAACGTTCATTTTTGCTTCTATCCACACAGAGATTCACAGGGCGAATGGCTCTGCAAATTGTTTATAAGTAGACCCCGACGTAAGAGCAAATAGTTTTGAACCCCCAAAAAATTGGGGTTCACTGAAACTTTAATGGGTTATATTTTTTCGGCTGCAGTCCTGCTTAAAAGGAGAACTATGGGGTCAGGGCTTTTCCTCATAGTTCTCCTTAGGGTAACGGGAGGACACAAACTAGCGTCTTCCCGTCACCCTAGGCTCAGTATATAGGGAGCTACAGCCCGCGGTATACTGGGACACCGCAGCCGGAGCGGATCCCGACATCGATGTCTGGATCTGCCCAGCTGCGTGAGTGACAGCTGGCTCTGCCTATCTAGAGGCAGAACCAGCTGTACCCGCCCCTTCCCCTGTCCAAACTGCCAGTCAGCGCTGGAGGATCGGAGCGGGGAGGGGGGAATCCAGCCCCTCCCCTGTCACCGCAGAGAGCCGTGACAGGATCGAGAGGTGAGTGAGCGCCGGTATGTGTTCGCTCACCTCCCGATCTACTGAGCCGACCTGTGACAGTCTCATTGTCACCGGTTGGCTAGAACTATGAGGTGAGTGAAAAGCACCCCCTCCTCATAGTTCTCCTTTAAAGAAACCAGAACATAGTAAGCTTAATACTCTGTATCTCCCTTCCTGTCCGTGTCCAGTAATTGCCGGTGAAAATGGGAAGTTTACCGGTTGGCACGAGAAGAAAACCAGCAAAGCTGATCCAGCAGAGAGCGGCCAATGACACGCTCAGGTATCACTCATCAGGGTGAAAATTGGACAGGGGAACAAGTGCCGAACGCTATAATATAATGCGGCGTGATGCAAAAGGATCAAATCATTTCAAGCCACTTTAGAAGATAAGTATCTGGAAGCATCTTGAAGTTGATTATACGCTGGAGATAATAGGCCGGAGAGGGTAATCACTTAATCCTTTAAGAAGTGTGAAAAGGAACAACGAACATGACACAGACGAATGGAGGAGGAGGAGGACAGGACAGGCAACCGAGCCAATATTCACCGAGCAAAGAGCCAATGAGAGGTGAGAATTACAGTCACATGGGTGAAAAACATTTCAGCATATAACATGTGTGATAGCTTAGTGAGCCGAGTCTGATACACTGTACAGAAATATGTCGCCAGAATCAAATGCACCCAACCAGCCCCCGGTCCTGACTTCCTCCACAATCTTCCCTAACAGGCGAGACCCAAGAACAGAAGAATTTGGCTTTTACTGACCCTGTAGTACAACGCCTGTTAGCAAATAATAGGATTTTTGTACTCACTGTGAAATCCTTTACTTGAGGGCCACAGGAAGTCATAAACTGTTGGGTTATACTGCCATCTACAGGAGGATTGGGCAGTAGCAGGGGTGGGCAACTTAGCCCTCCTGCTGTGCTTTAAAGGAGGACTATGGGGGTCAGTGTTTTTCCCCATAGTTCTCCTTAGGGTAACGGGAGGACACGAACTAGCATCCTCCCGTCACCCTAAGCTCAGTATATAACCGTGGCTGTTAGAGTCTTGCGATGCCTCATGGGACTTGGAGTTCCACAACAGCTGAAGGGCTAGAGGGCCCACACAAAAACACAAAGTGGGGTCCCCCCTTCACATCAAAGTCATCGCTTCAAATCTAATCTTTACATTAGAAGCCCCCTCCTTCACATCAGACTCCCCTTTCAATTAGGGGTTGCTAAGCGCTGCTAATTTTCGGTAGGAACTCCGAAATGTTTTTTAACTTTGGCCCTTTAGTTTTTGTGGAACTACAAGTCCTACACGGGGTATTGCAAGACCCCGACAGCCACAGGCAGAGACATGATGCGGTGAAATTACAAATCCCATGATGCCTCTCTCTCCGGGAGTCATGTCTGAGAGAATCTTGCAATGCCTCATGGGATTTGTAGTTCCACCCACAGCTGAAGAACCAACATTTGGCTATCCCTGTAATATAATATGAGGGCAGTGATGTCACACAATACATACATGTTACAGCCGTGTATGGAGCCAGATAACTGGACATATCACACGTCTTCCCCTCTAGAGCAGGGCTTCTTAAAGTGTGGGTCGCGACCCCATATGGGGTCACACAAGTGAATAGGGGGGGTCGCGACTAAAACTCTGAATCCCCAGGGCCGCCATCAGGGGGGAACAAAGTCACGAGAGGAAAAAGTTTAAGGCCTGAACTAGAGGACCTCTTGCTTCCTAAAACTTTCTGCCCTCTGGTGACCCGCCTGCCTTCCGCCTATAATGAAGCTGCAGCGCTGGATATGAACCGGCGCCGCGGCAATAAAAGCCGTACTTAAATTGTAATGAAATCGGTGCGGAGAATTCAGAAGCGGCAGAAAAAAAAAATGTATATATATATTCACGGAAATAATTGCGATCTTTAATATTCTCTCCCTGGCGGCTGCGGCGCTTCCCCCGCACTTGTTGCTGGATTTTATGATGCCGGGCGGCCGGGGAATGTCTGAAATACGAGCCGATGCTCGGCTGCAGCGCGTGTTAATGGCGCGTTAACTTCACATCGGCGTTCTCCGAAAAAACGTTCAGATTATTTGTTTGCATTGACCCGGGAAAACGGCAAAATCTTCGGGTCTGCGCTGCGACTCCACCCGCTGAGACGCTCCGCCGCAGCTTTTATAGCGCAGTTTACATCCGGAGCTGAATTTTTAGTGTTTGGATACAATCGTCCTTCCATCGGAAATAGATTTGTGTTGTGGAAGTGTTTATGTTTATTTTATGTCTATACTTTGTAATAAGAAGAGTCTTCCCATTCGCTGAGATAGTCTGAGATATACTGAAGCTGAACTCCAAACTGATAGAAAAAGTAACAACTAATGCAGCTCGGTATTCATTATTAATGAACATCATTAAAGGAGAACTATGAGGGGGGGGGGGTGCTTTTCACTCACCTCATAGTTCTAGCCGACCTGTGACAATGAGACTGTCACAGGTCGGCTCAGTAGATCGGGAAGTGAGCAGACACATACCGGCGCTCGCTCCTCGATCATCTCCCTGCAGAGAGTGGTGACTGTCACTCACAGCTCCATGCAGGGATTCCCCCCTCCCCGCTCCTCCAGC